TATGTCATTGGACTACTTTTTGAAAAGTTGTATTTCTATGTGCGCGTTATAGACATTTTTCTATTCCAGTTGATTGACATCCTGACATATAATTTAGTTTTATATCTTGTTCCTTCTTAACTAGAGGATTTACATCATCTTTCTGTCATCATTTACTTCCCCGTCATATATTGTTGCAAACCTGTATGACTTTTTTTCATCTGCAAAACACAAAAGAGGATATTTTGAAGAAAGTTGGGGTTCAAACAACACTGGATTATATACACTTTTATTGTAGGGACCAATTTTTATTTTTTTTTAATCTTCTTTCTCGTTCCACCATAGGAAGCCACACAGATTGAGAACAACACAAGAGGAAAACATTATGGCAGATATTATCAGTTTTTAATTTAGCCTTTTAGTATAAAGTGACTATTCTCCAGACCAGTTTTTTAATAAATTTAAATCTACTGCATAAATGTCTCAAACAAAACACTTGAAAGTCGTCTTTTGAGCAAGACTTCCTCTAACACACTCACTAAGCGAAATATTTAGCCAATAACATTTTCAAGCTGTGCAATGATGCCAATTTGAAAATTCCCTGGGATTTCCAGGCTTTTCATGAGCGTGGGAGCCTCTATTGCAGTAAATTTACCTCCTGTTTCTCAGCCCATATCAGCTGGTGAATAATTCCCTCTATTAATTCAGACGAAGGTGAAACACCCAGCACACATGGAACAGAGGCATGAATCTTGATGTGCTTAAGATCTCAGTGAGCGCAGAAGACTTCAGGGCTTCCCTGGACAACTGCGACTTGAGAGGGAGACCGACTCCCAGCCGAACATCATAAGCAGATCCCAGTGTTTTTGAGCGTGTCTGTGCTACTGGTTACGGATTCATTATTAATAAGAGCACTATGTATCTGATAACTCTGCCAGACTCAATCAGAGACAGTTTTTAGCAGAAGGAGAGTAATTAAAGGGATATAATATTAGATGGTTCAAGCATGCACCTAGTTTGATGATTGAAGTTGAATTCCCAGTTAGTACACAGCTGAGGAAGAAGTTTTGGAAGAAGTTCTCCAGCACTGCTGTCCTGAAAGTACCTCACCAAACTTCACAGGGGCTTGTGGGAGTGACTGCGGAGGACTGCTAAACCTGACAGCAGCAGCGGAGCCTGCTCAGTTTCTGCCTGTGCGAGAAATAAAAAGCAAACAGACCTTGTGCGTGGCAGCGCCTAGATCTGTAACAAGAGTGAGTGTCAACAGCACTGATCACAGGAAAATCAGTTGTTGTTTTAGTGTACAGGGACATTTCAATGCCTCCAAATTTCCACTGTGCTCCAGATGGCATAAATGGTGCCTTCATAGGGCACTTCAAAGGGAGAAAAGTCACCTCAGTCATTTTGAAGGGTTGTTCCAAACAGAACGTTCAAGTACAGTACACTGTAAGTAAACAAAGCTAAAACAAAGATTATTGGAGCATGTTCTACAAGAAAATACTACTTGTCCTTCTACTTTCCTAGAAATCATTTAAAGACCAATCATATAAGCTTTTTTTGTGACCGAGTGTAATTTGAATTGTGACCAAATCATTTTACATTTAATTCAATGTGTTACTTGCAATTTCTTTGTAGTTATTTGTAAACTTTAACAATTCCTTGCCTTGCCTGATCAATGTTGAAAAGAATTGTGCTGCTTAATATTTTTGTGGAAACCATGATCAATAGGCCTCCCCCCCCCCCCACACTTTTTTTTC